AAAGACAATAGTTTGAGCCCCCTATTCCAATTCACATTGCCAGCAGCCGCGCGAACCTGATCGAGTTTGACCTTCGTAAGGAGGGGGGGTCCGCGATCATGATATTGACACCAACTGAGATTGTCACTCCTCCATGCGAACCTTCACCGTCAGATGCTGCCGCATCGCTCCAGATGCCGTGGTACCCCACGTCCGCCACCTGCATTTCAAGATCAATAACACGATCACCGACGCAATGATCTTACTGCGTCGCCAGTACCTTGCCCAACGGTTCCTGTGCAAAGTACTAAATTAAGAACACTCAAATGCAATTTACCGTACCGCAGGAAACTTTCGCACCAGGGCCAGTTCCTTACCAGCAGGCGGCTGCGCCATATCGTTGGAATCAATCATGAACCCGACCCGTCGCAACTTCAATGAAGCGATTACTTGCTGCAACCCTGTCTTCTGACATAGCCGAGGGCATCCCGTAACATCTTGCCGTTGCGGAGGAACGTCCTGCCGCTGCCTCGATCTTCGTCGCCGAACATCAAGGCACGATCACGCAACATATCACGACGCATAATGAGATTGGCATCCAGCTGCCTCAAATGATCAGCAACCATAGTATCCCGTGCGACTTCGTTGTCTGTGCGAAGGAAGCTTGGAATTGATACCGACAATCCAGCGCACGATCCCACGCACGAGCACCGAGATCGTCCATGGGTTGGGGACTGGGAAATCGCTGCTGCTGCTGCTGCTCTTCATCCTGCTGATCCACCTTGTCCTCCTTTCCTCCCTCCTCCTTCTCCTCCTTTCTGGTTGCGCATCACACGATGGGGTCCTCTGGGCGATCAACAGAAACGTCATCTAGGACACCCGAAGCCCAGCACAGAAGACAGAAACGTTCGGATGTCCGCGCAGATTTCGCGGATCTTCGCTGGACACCCCTCCCAGGCGTGCGGAGCGCGCCAGGGGCGGCGCCAGAGACGCCACCAAGGGCTCCAGCGTCGACCTCCGAAAGCATACATGTTGATCCTACTCGAGCCTGGTTTGCCCCTCACTCGTCTCCCTTCCTCCGCACCTTCACACCTCCCATCCCCTCCCCCGCTCGACTGGCCGACGGCCGGGGTCAGTGAACGCTCTCCCCCCGCCACCACTGTCAGAACCCGATGGGGAGCGCATCGCTGCGGCAAACAGTGGGCAATGCGCAGGCACCTTATTGTCATGTCAGGCATTTTTTCTCAGGGGGGGCAGGGGGGAAATAATCAATGGTACGCTGCGCGCTGGCCCCATGTTCCAAGCCAGCAATCAGCGCAATGTGCTTCCTTGTGCTCGCACCATACGAGGGACCAAACACCCCGCCGTCAATATATTTTGGCGCGTGGCCAGAACAGTGGGATGTCGTCATGTTACCCGATGTGTGCTGCCACGCGCACTGGCGCACCTGACGCACTCCGCGCGCGACCGCACCTTGGCACACCTGGCACACCTCGCATACTTGACTCACGTGGCGAGCGCGCCGCACCTGCCGTAAAGTGCGCGGCTGGACCGCTTGGGAACCTCGGGTTCCCGACTCACGAGGAGAGCGCGCCGCGCCTGGCACGCCCTGTTGCCTGGGCCTGTATCTGCGGGGCGGGTTTATGTCCAGATCGACCGCTTGGGGAACCCATGCCCTGGGACCCAAGGGTGCGGCGGATGTGGATGTATTTGGGCCCCCTGGAGCCCAAATACCACCGCCTCCCGAGGTAAACGAACATCGGTTCCCCAATCGGTGAACATAAATAAACCCCCGCCTCGGAGTAGTGTCTCTGTCTTTCTGGGGAACGGCAACCACTTACAATGTGTGAATCGTGGGTGCTGCCTCTCTGGTGAAGGGGCGCGGATGGGAAGGAACGAAACATCTCGACGCGTCCCTGTTCGGACCATGGCCCCATCGCAGCCGTATGCCCACGGCTTCCCTCTGGCACGCCGTCCTGGTTAACTGACATGCGGCCTCCCCATCCATCCTCTCTCTTTTCGTTTTGTGCGGTGAACCGCATGGGACTCACGGCTGAACATCCCTTCGTTGGGGGGAACGGCGGTCGAACAAAAAATCTCGGGGAGAAGGCCTCCAGCAATGCGGCGCGCAGATTGTTGCAATGCCGAATCCGACCAGCCTCTTCTCCTCCCCACCCTCCAACTCCCAGTTCCGCAGTGCCCCCTCCCCTCGCGACCCTTCACTTTCCATCAACTCGCCGTCCCAGCCCACCCTTTCCCCGCACGGCGCCGGCGAACGATCTGGCAGCCTTCCTAGAAACCCCCGAAAATGCCCATTCCTTCTGATCAGTCCTCCACCTTGTTCTGTCAGCTCGCGTTAAACAATTGGCCGAACAGCCCCTTTCTGGTGCCGATGAATGGACCGCGTGGGGCGCGACGCGCCCCGAGGGGCATCAGGGAACTGTTGTTTGAATCGCGCGCGCCATGGGGTCGTCGCTGGCGCGGCCGAGGGATCGTGCACCCCCCTGCATGACAGCCTCAAAACGAGTTGTTTTTTCGTATAACAATTGTTATGGTAGTCGCACACATCCGAACCGACTTGTTGCCCCCCATCGCAGGCGTCGTCGTCGCCGTCGCCGCCGCCGCCGTCGTCGTCGTCGTCGACTACAGCGGGCCTGCGCAGACCCCCCCCCATAGGACATCCGCAGTGCGTCGTCGTGGTCGCCGCCGTCGCCTTCTGCCGTCCGCCCACCCGTCATCCTCGACCTCGTCCTCGTCCTCCTCGTCCTCGTCCTCGTCCTCGTTTTCACCGTCGTCGTCTTCGTCGTCGTCGTCGACGACAACTACAGAAACCGCGACGGAGTGGGAAAAGGACTGCCCGTTTTGCTCGGGTCGGACGACGAAAAGCTGGGGAAGGAAATGGGGGGTGCGAAACCTGTTGCGCGCAGCTGGTTTCGATCGCCCCGCCGAAAGGCCAGTCCTCGATGCATGGCCGCTTTCGGCGCCAGGGGACACTTGGAAAATCAGCAACGTGAGCTGCTGGGCAAATCCGCGCTTGGCCACGCCCCCCTTTCGACCAGCCCGCATTGCTCGCGGGCCCGCGAGGCAGCTGGTACCCCCCCTGGCTGCGGCCAGGGCAGAAGAAACGCATCGGTTCGACAAAAAAGAGCACGGAAAGTGCGGGGGCGAGCGCCGACGGTAGCTGTTTTTCATTTCGATTAAGTGTCGCCCTGGCTCACGGTCCATGTTTTTGCCACGTTTGCCCTCCGCCCCCCTCCCCTCCCCCAATCTGTGCTGTCTGTCGCTTTCCAGCTGGCGGCCGGGCGTCGGCGCTAATCACCAACACCGCCGCCGTTGCTTGTCAATCTGGCGGGCGCCAACCCGCGATTCGCCCGAGCAGGGAAATGATTTGTTTAAAAAACGCGCCCTCCAAGGATTTGCGAATCACACATTGAATCATCTTTTCCCCCTTCGCGCCAGTGTGTGCACCGTCAAAAAGGCTGGTGGTGAACATGGGATTAAGGAATTAGCTTCACGCAAGTGGTTGCTCCAAAGCCCTCAGGCGCCGGAGGTGGCCGTGCATCGAAGAAACGAACGACGTAATGACTTTGCTCACAAGATGAGTCTCCAGAAATCTGCACCTCTTTCCCGGAGCCGCATTTTCCCAGGGCCTGGTAATGGCCCCAGAAACAGGAAAATTGACAAAGACTTCCGCCGCACGCTTTTACACGACGCGAGGGGGTCTGGGACTCATCCGTCCTCTCCCACCTCAACTCCGAGGCGGTCCGGCACGTACTGCCAACAGCGAACGTCGTCCAAAACCAACAGCGGCCGCTGTTGGGCAGGCGACGTTTGTCCCAAATGAACAGCGCAAGAATGGACAACGTCCGCGGCGACACCGACAGCGAGCCCTGCTTGAAACGGCCAGGAACTGTTGTTGGCCTTATTCGCCAATCTTTCCGATCCCTCCAGATCCGTCCTCCACCCTGAGGGGGGTCGAGAGGGGGGGACTGGCTCGGGAGGGGGCCAATGAGTTGGAGCCGACGATGCATCGCCAGCAGAACGGCGATGCGCTGCCGATGCGGGATCCCCACGTTCCTGGTCGCGGTGGGGTACCCGATCGGCGAGAAACGGGCGATTGGGGTTCGATGTCTCCCCCCTGGACCAGTCCCCCCCTGTCGGCGCTCCCATCACCCAAACATCCGACAACATTTGTTTCACTGCGCGGCCCCAAAGAGGCCCCGACCCCTTCTCCAGGTCGAAACTGTTCGTCCTGGATCCACTTGTTGACGGCCCTCGGGCTCGATAGCGGCCCCCAGAGCCAACATCCCCGACAAAAACAAGTTTCGATCTCCCTTCTCCAGTGGCTCACACATCACCCTACTCCAATCCATGTCCGTCCTCCTCCCATGAGATCCGATTGGGGCGAACCCGACCCCCAACCCACATCTTCATGCGGCACTGTCCGAGCAGGGTCGATGCACGAAGGCCCCAGTGTCTGAAACTGGGCGGGAAGGGACGCTCGTATCCGATGGCCCCCCTCCTCCCTGAAGATCCGATGTCCTCAGTTGTTCAAAACTGGTCCCCCGGAGGATCCGATCCTCTCCCCATGGCTGGCCGTTCGCCCTTGATCGGTAGGAGAGCCCTTGGAAGGCTCCCCGAGGTTGCAAACTACAAAGAACCGTCGCCATGACTATTTACACAACGCCGGATGTCTTGGCTCTCCACCGCCACTCCCTTTCGGGTATGGCTCTCGGAATGCAACTCGGGTTTCCAGCGGCGAAGCGAACCTGCTAGAGGCCTGGACATGGGCACCACATCAACACAGGGGGCTGCCTCCACTGGGGGAAGATGAACCTAGACTCAGGCGCTGGTGGCAATATTTCGGCCCCTTAGCAAGCCCGAATACCACCGCCATCAATGAGATCGGGAACACCTTCCTTCGAGGCAGGCACGCCGCCAGCATTGGTGCTGGTGTCCACCTCCGTAGGCCTCCGGAAATCGGATCTCGGAGCTCCCCAGCCCCCCCCCCCGCGGGGGTCCGGCGTGGACTGCCGCTTCTTCGCGGTCTCCGCCTCTCCGCTGGGCCGGGTTCGCAGGGGGTGGGGGGGGCGGGGCGCGCCCCGCGGGGCCTCCGAGCCGCCTGCCCAGGCGGCTCCGCCACGGGTCTGGGCGCCGCGGGCGAGAAATCTGACGACGGCTGGCATGCCGACGCGCTGAGCGGGATCGGGATCGAGGACATCGGGATCGAGCTTCGAAAGTCGACATGATGCTAAGCGTTGGACGCTTTTCGCCCTGTCTGGGCCGCCGCGATGATACTCGCGGCAATGCTGGGTTCCCTACGAAATTCTGATCAGAACGTACCCTAGGAGAGGGATGGGGGTGGAGTTTGACCACTGGGCCCAAGCCCCCTCTGAGAACTGTTTCTCAGTCCTGGGGCCATTCCGAAAACTGCTCGTACGGACAAGCCCGCCCCTGTGAAGGGGTCGGGATCCCCGGGGATCCAAGTTACGACGACAGTGTTACGTCGGAGGAGAGGATCCATGGAGTGGCGAATGTCATCATTGAGATTCGTTGATCGTCCTCTCCAAAATCTTGGCCACTGGCAAGAAACTGTGTTTCGCTTTATCTGCATTCCTGCGTAATCTTGTTCTTAATCGTCGTCCTGCATGCTCACCCTCGAAATCACCTCAGCATCGCATAATAAGATCTGGCAGCGTATCTTCGGGAGCGAAGCGTGCCATTTGTGAATCAGCTCCTGGGGCCAGCAGCGTGGAAGGGTCCTCATGAAAAAAACGATGTGCCTAGAGAGGGTCGGCCCTGCACCACCGAGCGACAGAAGCGACCGGAATCACGAAAGCGGCGGGAAGTAGTCATGCCGATAGCTCGGGCCGACACTTCTCACCTGAGACCGCTGGCGCGGGGCCCAACTGCCACAAGCAGGGACATGAGCCGATGACTTGCCTGCCGAAAGCTGGCCACAGGTGAGGCCTGGTCATCGGAAGCGGGCCCACACGACGGATGACAGAGTCGCTGTCACGATCTGGAGCAGGACCTACGCAGAGGAACAAGAAACAACACAAACAGCAAATTCCGGAGGTTCGCACGGCGTCCTGCGCAGATCCAAGAAGTCCGCGCGGGCCTCCGAGAAAGCATGCTGAATGCCGTTTTTACGGCCGCGGTCTCCCCACGGTCGGCGGGAGGTCCCCGCAGCAGCAGCTCCCGCCACTCCCTGCGCCCCAGCGCGACCATCTTCGCGCTCTCGCGACAGCCCCCCCAGAGAAGGACGGCTCCTCGGGCCAGACCGCGAGGCGCCAAGCGGAGGTTGCCTTCGCGTCCAATGCAGAAGACGGCCCTGGGGCGTTGCCTGATAGGCCCTCGAGAAGTGGGGAGGGGGGGAAACGTTCGCCTTTCGTGCCCCTCTAGGGCCTCTAAAGTGCACAAAAGGTGCACCTTTCTTCATCTCTCCCATTTGACCGCCCCCCATTACGCAACGCCCGAGGCACTCTGCCACGGCACTCGTGCAGGCCATTCGGCGTCGCTCGGCGTCTCCAGCTGCTATCGTATGTCGACAGGGCATGGGCGGAAAGGTGAGCGGACTCTGCGGCCGCAGGGGCTCACTGGAGCAGCTGGGACACACACGCTGGCAATCACCCCCATATGGCACACGCAGCAGGGAACAACACGGAGGATGATTCCGTCAACTATGGCAGCGGACACGTACACTCCAGAGAGAAAGATCGAGAGAGAGAGGAGGGGGAGGGAGACAGAAAGAGAGAGAGAGAGAGAACATAACAAAGAGTCAGACAGAGCGAGGAACCAAACAAAAGATACCAACAAAACAAATCAACAACGCACAATCAAGAAAGGACTGCTTGTGCTTATGCGAACTCCCCTGCGCGACGACAGAAGATGAGACGGGACGTGTGTAGGTTTACTCCGGGCGGTGAGGGCTCCGGCCAAGATCACCTGCAGCCCACCGTTGTCCTCACAGCACGCCCGCGCGCTGCAGCACCGCTCTCAGGCCACAGCAGCCCGAGCCACCAGGGCCGGCAGACTGCGCGCGGCTGGCCCCGGACGCGGCTTCTCCACACAGAGGCGGGCTGCACCGTGCCGCTGCCGCACCATCCGGGGCAGACGTGGGGGGCAACGGTGGGCAGGGGCCAGCTCGGTGGGAGACTCGGCGATGCGTCGCCGACAGATCGGCGACAGGCTCTCGCTAAACGAATCCAGGCGTTCCTGGGCGTGGCGGGCCATCGGGCTCCCACGCGCGATCGATGGGCGCCTGGGGGTCGATGCACTCCCCCCCCCGGAGCCCCTCCCCCCCGAACGATGCCCCCGAGGACCCTCGCTCGAGCCCGTGCCAGTTGTCCTCACAGCCGGCGTCCGACGGCTCCACCCCCTCCATGCCCATCTTGATCCTGACGAGCAGGCCGAGCTCCGTGGCGTCGAGCACCTTGCTCAGCGCCACAAACTGCGAGGCCTGGGCCGCCTCCCCGTCTTCGATCTCGACCTTCCCGTCCTCCCCGCAGCGCCATTTTCGGGGGGCGTCAGCTGAGCACCTCACCGAGTCGGGCCTGGCCGAGCCCAGTCGGCGGCGAGCCCAGGGGCAAGGTAGAGGAGGCGGGCCTTCTCAGAGGGCTCAGAAGGCCTCCGGCCTTTTGAGATATTTTCTCCGCCTCCTCCGAAGACGCAGAAGGCTTCTCAGAGGCCGGAGGGCTTCTGAGAAGCCCACGCCGCCTTCTGAGAAGGCCCGCCCACTCTCGCTTCCCACCTCGGCGCGCCGCCGACCTGGGCCAAGGATCCGAGCGGCCAGGATCGGTGAGGTGGTCAGTTGACGTCCCCCAAATTTCCTGCCGTGCGTGCGGTTGAGCATCTCGGCAATAAACGACCTGTCCTGCGGCGGGATTTCCGAAGACAAGACGATGCTGCGGACGCCTTCGTCCAGGGCTCGGCGCAGACTGGCTTCCCTCGCAATGTACCGCTCCGTGGACCACAGGCTCCGGCCTTGTATCCGGAAGAGATTCAGGGCCTGAGAAAAATGCCCACTGCCAAGGGAGCAAAATACCTCCTCCTTTCCTTCTAACGATCGGGGTTGTCCAGAAGTGTCCCTGACCCAACGTACCCCCCGATTTTCGCTCCATGTCATGAACCCCTGCGGTCCTCTGGACCTGGTGAAGGGAGCTCTGGAGGCCGTGGAGGCCTCCCTCGCAATACTGGGATCAACTTGGGCCGAGCACACCTTTGGCAACAACCGAGACAAAAACGGTGGAAAACGAGGCTGCTCTTTCACGGCTGCACGCCACTTTGCGACTGCCTCGGCACCAAGCTTCGAGTCTGCCCTCTCGCGAACCAGCACTGGAACATCATGCACATCTGGGCCGCCCGACTCACGATCCTTGAAGCCTTCACTCCGGATCTGGGTCGCAATGTAGTGCACGTGTTCGACAGCCAGTCCCGTATGAGCCCGATTGGTGACATCTGGGCACACGTCGCACGACCGAACTTTGACAAGAGAGCCTACTCTCCACTCCTTGATCAAAGCGTTCAGCCTGAGGACAGCCTCAGCGTCGGACATATCATCGAAACAGGCACCACCAGCGATGGCGGATTTCTGCAGTAGCGTCGCCTTGGTGCGCGCATCACGCCTCTCAATCTCTTGATTGTCAACGCGAGTCCAGCGCTGTTGATCATACTCCGAAAATTTACTCTGCCATAAGACCTCGTCGACCCGTTCCCCACGCACCACGTCTTTCAGATTATAAATGCTGAAGCCCACAATGGCACCATCCTCTTGCTTGAAGCCAAGTTTGGCAGTCATGCCGTTGATCAATAACAGGTCACCGTAGACAACTATCGTCTCACCTCTCGAAGCCACCCACGCTCCATTAAGATCCTCGGCTCGCAGCATTGCGCGAGCAGACACTCTGAACGATGGGGCCACCGAATCCAAGTCAGCCAGGCGCGGACGATCTGCGCCTCCCGACCAGTCGCTTGAGCCATCGGCGCATGACAGGGGCGATCCCTCGATCAGGGCGCCGCTGCACGTGATGCACATCTGATCTGCGATTGAAGTGCCCGCGCCCACTCGCGAACGTGCTTCTCCTGGTCTGGCTTAACGAGCACGGCCCAACTCTCCGAGATTAGAGCTGCACACGAGAGAACCAGACGATGCATCTGGCTGGCTTCGGGGGTCGTTGCTGACGGGGGGGCTCGGTGACTTCCTCTCGGATGTCCCGGACAATCGCTCTTTGCCAAAATGACGATAAGACTCTGCACCCTCCCCTGATTCGCACGGCGTCCCGTCGAGCAACGGGATGCAGACACCCAGCGGGTACCTTTACTAACCCGCGCATGCACATTCATACGCATACTCGGGTTCATCGTGATCACATTCCTTCGCATTCACGTTGACGATCGCACGAGTACTCGTATTTGCAGCTTGGCGTCACCAGGCGTGTGAGACTCTCCCGCCCCTCTAATCCCCCCACCAGGCCCAAAATCCTGGATTCGAGGGAGAGGGTTGGGGGACGGGATCATCCCTGAGGAGGGCTTCAAGATTGCACAAGATCGGGTCGGAAGAAAGAGGGGCGGCAGCAAAGGAGTGGCTAGCGAGTTAACTTACTTAGCTGGGTTTCTGGGCGCCTTCCAGCACCGCAGACGCTGAATGTTGTATTGATGAATGCGCAAGGCGGCGGGGTCGAAACAACCTTCGTGCAAAAGACTTCGCAACGCCCCCTTTCACGATCCCCTTGTCCGACCCGGCACCAAGACAGCCAAAGAGATCTCCAGAACATTGCAAAAGGGCCAAGAACCGAACACTGCAAGCATCTAGCCTCAGGAGACACTACATGAGGCCTCAACAGAGGCACAGATGGGTGGCTAGAAACACTCGAGATAATATGGTTTCAATGTTTTATGCGTTCCGCGCCTGTCGGGCCAAGATGGCCTCAGGGCTTGCAGACAGTCCAGAGGTGCCTACACTGGGAAACTCCCAAAGACGGCCCAGGAGGGACGAAGGAACAATTAGGAAAGGGTCCGGGGGGGGAAGGTTGGCGGCGCGGTCCAGCTGGTGTCGCGAGGGGGGCAACCTTCTAAGAAGTCGGTGGAACCGATAAGACGGCGAGGGGGGTTCTTCGAAGTCTTGTAAGCCTTCCTGGGATCTAAGTCACCTCCTCAGTGGCCTCTCGGCCATTCTAAGAAGGCCCCTGTCTTTCCACCCTGGCCGTATGAGAAGGCCAGCACCCCTCGCACCACCCTTGCGCGCGCCGCTTAGGAGAGGTAGGGGTGAAGAGCGGGCCAAGGAACTATCTGCACGCAGCAGGAGCCTTCAGGCGACAGAGGCGGCCGTGCGTCAAAGAAAATGCCCAACGGCGAGGCCAGAACCAACCGCACGCGGCAGATTGCGCACGCAACCGTTTCTCCACCCACCCTGCTCTCCTCCCCAAGAGATCAGCTGAGGAACAAACAACGACACAAACACGAACTTTCGGACGTCCGCTCGGATTTCTTGGGTCCGCGGCGCACCCTGCTCCACAAGCACGCCAACTGCCGCATTGGATGCGAAACTATGGGCGGCCCAAAAGCTGGTCCAAGAAATACGCGCGGACGTCCTAGAGATCGTGATTACGCACTTGTTCTTGTTAGTCGACGAAGGGGGTCCTCATTATCCTCCTTCAATCTCGTGATGCGAGTGGCCTTCATTACCTGTCAGGAGACGGGATAGCACGAGGGAGAACCAGCCAGTCCCCTCCTCCTTGTCCTCCTCCCCCTCCTCCTTCTCCTCCTTCTCCTTCTTCCTCCACCTCTACGTCTTCTTTTTCTTGACTGAAGATTATGTCTAGCATTCGAAATTGTGCTCGTCCTCCTCCTCCCCCCCCTACGATTGATCCTCGCCATCCTTCCCGAATGGTTTTCGTCGGTTGGTTTTCGTGTCACAGCCCGTCAAGCACGACCCAGGGACCCCCGAGCGGCTGATGGAGAGCATCCAAAGGCTGGAAAACCAACGACAACCAAGGGAAACAACAGACAATCTCGAAGCTCGAACCCATACTCCAACCCCGCGTCACGAAAACCGACGCGGCAGGGGAACCTGAAACCGAAAACCGCCGAGAATCGACGAAGCAGCGAAGGCGAGGGTCGAAGCCGAGTCCCCCCCTCTGGGCAGGCGCGGCATTTACCTCTAAGCTTCAAGTGGCGCGGGGGCAGGGGGGGCACTTGTTAAATCCGCGGGCGCCACAAGGTCACAGACGGTCAGACACCGTTCAGCAAGCGGTGGGGTGCACCGGGAACGAATTGAGGCACGAAGAAAAATTGAACTGAATGCGAAGGGGGGAACAAAGAGCCCGCGGGCCTTGAAGAGGTACAAGGCGCCGAGAAGAGCCGTGGGCGAGAGCAGGGCAGTACGGAGGCAGACCAGGTGAAGTGGCGCACGCGTCAAAATCGCTCAACGAAAGGAAAAGAAGACCATATAGAAAAAGGCCTTGAAGAAACATCATGAGCTCGCCGACCTGGCCCGAGCACGTGGGGATCCGAAACGAAACGGAACAGTCGACCATGCCGAGCAAGACCTGGAGAAAGAACTGGACAAATGGCCGTTGACCCGGCACGGGAAAGACCGAAGCGGAGTGGCTTCATGGGCTCAGAACAGAGCCAGAACAAAACTGGCCAATCAAACGCGCCAGGTAAAAGGCCGGATGGCGACGGTCGAGAAAACGCAATAAGCGCTGCAGGGCGGCGGAGGACGTGGACCGAACGCAGGGCACTGCCCTTGCCGAATAGCACGAGGCAAACCCTTGCCGAACCTCAGCTGGGGCAGCGCCGGCGGTGCGAGGCCGCGGGCGCGGGAGGAAGGCAGCGCCATGGCGGCGCAGCTGGCAGGGGAAGAGGCGGGGGGCGAGAAGGGCGAAAAGCCCGAAACACGTGAAAAAGAAGGACAAGTAAGGAGACTGGCGAAAAGCCAACTTACCGCGTAAGAAGCTGGGTAACTGGGTAGCTGGGTGAACAGGGTAACAATGGAACGGTGGGGAGAAAACCCCAACAAGTGATGGGGCAGCTGATAACGCCAAGGGCCAATAGCCTGGGGCACAGAACGCGGCATCTGGGTGCGCAAAGGGGTGCGAGGGTCACCGCCATGAGGGCGTCGCATCCTCATCGCTCGTCATAGCGGCCTCTCTTGTTGTGCTCCCGATGGTCGCGCTTCGCCGGGGTGGTACCTGCCTGAGCCGCTCCAGGCTCCACGGGGCACGCCCAAGCACGCAGGTGACAGTGGGAACATCACCCAGCCTTCTTGACGGGACCCCTGTGGGCCCGCCCGCACCAAAGCTTACTCCATCGAAATATCAAACTGACGCGTAGTCGACCCTCCCCCTGGCCGGGGCACACGGAGGGGAATGAGACATGATGGGTAACTAACCCCGCCGCCGACGCCGACCTCTCAAGGAGGCGCTCCTGGGTCCACGTGCACCACGAGCGGCGTCCACGCCGCCTCCTCCTCCTCCTCCTCCTCCTCCTCCTCTTCCTCCTCTTCCTCCTCCTCCTCCCTCCTCCTCCTCCTCCTCCTCCTCCTGTCCTGTCTTGTCCCGCGATGTCCTGCCCCCCCAGCCCCCAACCCCTGAGGCAAGCGTGGCCTTTCTCCTCTTCGGGCTCCTGCTTCTGGCACGGCTCGCGGGGCCTCCGCGGCTGCGGGGGGCGCTAACCGGCCGACGGCCGCTGGTGGCCGTCGTCCTCGTCGTCCTCGTCCTCCCGAAGGAAGGGGACGAGGACGACGACGGTCATGATGTTCGGGATGAGGACGGTTCGTCATCCGCCTCCCCCCCCTCCGTCCTCGTCCTCTTCGTCCTCATCGACCCACTCCCGCCTCCCTCCTCCAGCCCTCTCTCTCTCCGTCCGCTCCCCTCCCAATCCCTTCCTTCCAATCCCTCCTTCTGTCCCTTTCCTTCCCCTCCCCCGTCCCGCCCTCCCGCCTTCCCTCGATCCCCGGTTTCCCTCGCTCTCCGTTCCACCTCCCCCTACCCCTCCCTTCTTCCTATTCGACATCCCTCAATCCCTCCCGCCCCCCTATGCCTCCCTACACCTCTGATCCTTTCCCTCCCCACCCCTCTCTCCCTCCCTCCTCCCTCTGTCCCTCATCTCTCCTCTCCACCCTCTTCGTACGCATCAACGCCCGACCGCTGAAGAACAATGTCGGCCGTGTAGCAGGCTCGTGATGGCTGCAATCAGCGCGGATCACACCCATCCTTCGACAGGGGGCTGGAGGAGGGCAGGAGTTCTGCAGAGAAGGATGATTATTCTTTGATGGGGGGAAGGCTGGAAATAAGAACAAGGAGGTCCCCAGAGATCTCTCGATGTCCTCGACCGCCTCCAGTTACCAACAGGGATTTGCTAGCATCACCGAACAAAGGTTTTGATGCTTGACATCATAAGTCGGTCCCCAGCCCTGAAGAAGGTAGAATGGAAGGAGTGCGGGGACGGGATTGTACACGTCCACCGCCTGGGGAACCTATCACCGAGGACCCCAGTGGGCGGCCGAGATGGCAGGATCAGCGAGTTGGGACGCATGGAATCGTTGGAATATCGGGGTCGAACAGGATGAAGCTGGTCGGAATAGATAACGAATGGGGTCGATCGAATCGTAATTGGACCTGATGTGGAGATGTCTTGAGCCCAGCGCGCCCAGACAGCGGCTCCCAGAGGGGTGGAAATGTACTTACGCGGGGTACTGTGCGAACCCAATCCCCGACTATGTGGCACTATGTGGGACCTCGGACTGGACAAAACCTTTGGGGCCCAGTTCGAGGACTGGTGGCGTCCGTCCTAGATCTGGGGTGCGTGCGACTAGCCCCTCGGATGCAGCCCCGAGTCCCCTGTCTTTCTGAACGGCCAAGATTGTTTGGGGGAACTCGGACGGAGATTGGGGCGAGAAATCGCCTGCGATCCCAGACTCCAAGACTTGGGAGGGATAGAGGGTAGGCGAAGAAACAAAAAGCGGCATCAGCAGGAAACGTTCTGAAGTCCACGCGGAGTTCCCGGATAGGCTCTGGGCACCCTCCCTGGCGCGCGGCGCGAGCCAAGGGCGGCACCGGGGGAGCCAGCGGCGACCACAAAAATCCGCGCTGACCTCCGCAAATCCCTCTCTGCCAGAAACCCCAGCCTCGAGAGGAGAGAGAGGAGACCAAGGTCGGGGATGTTCAATTGAGACAACGGCGGCCCTCCCGCCCAGACCAGCTCAGCTCAGAACACCGCCCCCCGCAGGCACTTCCTGGGGCTCGGCCTGGCCCCTGTTTTTCGACACGGATCCAGCGGTGCGACCGTCTCCGGTCCTCCCCCGCGTTCCTCCCCCTCCCAGCCACGCGTGGCCCAGGCTGCCCTTGCCGTGGCCTCGCCGCCAAACAGCAACGTCGCGGCATGCCCGGCCCTCCATTGCTTGGTCGCCCCTTCCCCTCTCAAAATGCCTTCCGCTTACCGTACTGAATTCAATGAGGATACGGATTGGAACCCCATGTGTGCGACCGATACCGACCGACTCCAGGAAATCTCTGGAATACCACAATGTCAATATCATTGTTCGAGTAGTGGCACATCGTTGGGCTGAGCGCGCGCACGACTTGCAACACATCCCGCATGTTCGTGTAATTCATGTAAGTTCGAACAGCGCCCCACTACAGTGACAAAGCTTGAAGACCCGCCTTCCGAGTGAAAAACACACCATCAAGGAGTCTTACATCATCCATGTTATGGCCTCCAAGACATACACCGCTGGCCGGGCAGCCGCGATCCGACTGAAGGGCACAACTTCGACGGAACGGTATGCGCTCTCTACTACTGCGCTCGGAGCAGGGACGGCCGCGAGTACCTTCGGATTCGCAACACTGCTACACATGTCACAAATGTCCTTAACGACGTCCTGCTTGCACTACCATCGCACTCTCTGCCTATCATTGCCACCGATACTAACGGTGGCATTAGTCGAATTCTCACTGCCCAGGGCCTTCACAGGATCGAGCAACACTCGGTGGGGCCCGATGGACGTGCGGAGGAACATGTGTCAGCGGTGTGTTTCGATAAACTGCAGATACGTTTGGCTTTGGGTTCCTTGATGCGTACTGCAATTATGGTCCTAGCTACTACTGGGCACGGCACGATTCCAGGATTGACCCCATGCTGGCCCCTCTCGAATACTTGCCACGTGTCAATATGTGTGGCCAGCTGATCCAGCATACGCGGAGACATCAGGCTATACCATGCGTGCGGCCACGTGACCACAGTTCCTTCCTGCTCGAGCCTTATGTGCGATTCACACACCACGGCACCAGACCACACACGTTGGGACTAGTCTTCCAATCTTGTCTGCGCTCTGTCTTCCAGTCTCTCTGCTACTCCTGTTCGAGAGGCCATGGAGGAAGAGGTATCGAAGCATCTGAGTCAACATGGGGGGACTACGCCAGACGCTGCGGCTTTACGAGCCCCGACGGCAGAGGCTGCTTTGGACGAATTGATGGGTATAGTGCAACAAGATGGTAGGGAGCACTTCAGTGCGTCACCTGAGGCGATGCCCAACGAACACCAAACCTGGCACGGCAAAGAGTCGACGCGCTTTGAGAAATAGCCAAGGCGAGGGCTCAAAGGACTACCGACTTCTCTGCAGTGCAAAAATTTGCCCGTCTGTCCCGTCGTTGTCGACATTTGCGACGAGAGCTTGCGAGAGCTTGGACGAATACGCGAAACCCAACTCACCCGAGAGGTAGAGTTGCACCGACAGAGGGGGCCCAGAAGGAATGGGGGATATGCCGACTATTAGCTTCTAACGGGGTGTGGCCACGACGACGCCATGACAATCGACTTCCCGATGCTCGACCGACGATGGGAGAATGGGAGGACCTCGCCCTGCCACCGCACCGAGGGGGGATGCAAGCTATCACAGTCGGTCCAAATCAGCTCTTAACCTCCCATGCTGAGACAGGCGACCGGTCGACCACCAACTGCTGGGCAGTGGCATCAGGCCCACCTGAACCTCGCGAGAATGGCTGAGAGCCCGCGAACATGCCGACGCCGACGGGCAGCCGTTCCATGGTCCGTGCCCGCGGATATCTGGACCCTTCTCTTGTCGGAGAGCCCCAATCCTACGATGACGAGGGCTGGCCTTGAATGCCCCCCCAACCGCTGGGGCCCCTGGTTGCGGAATGGCTTAACATTATATTGGCACGCGTGCGGCACAGGTGATAATTGGTGATACAGTGGGACCAATATATGACGTACCAAGTGGCAAAATTTAGTGGCAAAGCTCAGCCTTGGCCCACACGAGTGCTACACGGGATACGTTCGTTTGATACGCATTGAGTAGAACCCGCCTCAACACTATCTCATAAGACACCCCACTGAGAATACGGCTACCGTAAGCGACGCTCCCGATTGGGAACCATCCCGACCACTGCTGCCCTCTGATGGCGACTGCGTGCAACGCAGATCTCCTCCGCGGACACCACACACGACGTGTCCAACGCATTTGCTTCCATGCGCCTCTCTGTATTGAATGCCGCCATCAAGAACCCGTACCAACCGTGTGACGTGCCGTACCTGTCGACGGCATCGGCAGGCATCCTTCCTCGTGCAAGCAAAGGAAAAATAGCAGTGGTTACAGAACGGGGATGGCAACTACCAAGGGATGCGAACTCAGCATGGCGTTTCGCCAGGCTTTCAGCGGTCCAGTCCGAGATTGGTCAAGCCAAAAGCCATCCTGCTGCCCGAAACACTCACGACCTCTACGCCCCATCACGACCACCGAATGCGATTTACCCCTGCGCGTATACGCTGACTGCGTCAATAAAGCACACTACACCACTGACCCCGACCACTGCAAAAGCTATTTGGACATCAGGTAGCATTCTCGACAAGGAGCTCAAGCAATGCGGGGTAGCTCAAGACCAAAGGAAAGAACAGTACCGCATTACTCTGATCCTGGTTCCCTTCGGTACCACAAATACGTACGGGGTTCATGCCAGGACGGGTGGTGCCGAAGGCGCCGTTTCTTGGCGTCAAGTTTGATGCAACTCACCAGTGGTGGCCTGAGGTACGATGTACTGCGATGTCGAAGGGTTGGCATACGATGCGCCGAGTCTGGCAGCCCCCTGCCCCGTGGATGCACAAGGAATTGCAGGTTGTGGGGGCAGGAATTGCAGGTCTCCCAGCCCTCCTGTTAACCAGTGCCCAGGTGGACAGGATTGATTCGGTATGCCTCGAGTGCGGCCGAGCTTCACTGGGATGTGTAGCAGAGCAACAGACACGATACGATAAGGAAGGCAGGGAATCAACCGACGAAATCGGACGAAGCATGGGATATGGCGGCGGGTCGGACTTGCGCCGGTTTCTTTGGAGCTCCAGACCCAACGACTACAAGGGTGGCAAACGATTGCAGGATGTCCAGAATAGCTCTCCCAAGAGCCGGCTTCAGTTTTGACGAGATTCGATTCGAATCCTCACGTTCGCAATTGCTCTCTTGGATGCCCACCGGGGGGCCCTCCAACCACGGCAAGGACTAACCCATGGGCGAAACCATTCGTCCAGGATCGTGAGATTGTTCGCAGTCGTGAGTCGGGGAGAGATCTCTGGGATGCGATTGGGGATGACGACCTGAACGTATCCCTCAACGGCGAGACTGGACGGCGCTTCCGACTCCTGGATATTCCAATTGTGCGCTCGCAGTGGTCACTTCGTGCCACCCCACTGACCGACAGTGAAGTCGAAACTGTGCATGACACTCCTGGGGAGGAACGGGGAGCGGAGCGGGAAGAGGATGCAGGGGGGATCAGGAGTGCCTTCTCTTGTCGGCCGGCAAGTACCCCTGCCATCGACGCTGCCGCACGCATCGGGCCAACGTAGCGCATCAGCTGCAAGCGACGGAAGGGCAGCACGGGAACAGAGGAGTGATTTCGGGGTTGATTTCAACGAACCAATGTGTGGCGGGTAGTCCTACATTCAAGGACCAGGATACAGCGGCTCGTCACCTTACTCATGCCTATCAACATGGCCACTGCATGTCGCCACCCACACTGTCATTGACGTTGAGGCCACGACATGCAGACACTGTCCGCTGCCTTTTTATGTCTTTCGGACTCTGCAGGCCCACTTGCGGACCCATCTACCGACGCTAATCCCAACACTATCTCGGATGTCAAATGCGAGGCCGTCCCCGACAGACGTCAGCAGCGACCGCCCCAAAAGAGGCCTCGGCAACGGGACGACCGACGGCGGGGCCAACAAGAGGTCGGCGCAGTAGGGGGACGTCAAAGGCCGCGGCCGAGGCGATCCACAAATAATCGATGCCACGGAGATGGCCTCTTTGGCAAAAATGGGCCCGTCCGACATGGCGTGCCTCTTTCTGGTACAACGTGTTAGTGTTGAATTTTGACCATCTTGTGCGTCTTCAGGAGAGCCTCGCCCTCCTCACAGTCATCGATCCAGTTGGCTTGGAAGCAGTGGCGCGAGGGCGACAGACAGTGACGGGATGATTGGAGCACATGCAGAAGAAGAGAGCGGAGGGAGACAAAGAGGACACGCAGGCCGCGGGACGCGGTCCTGCGCGGCATTGGTGGGGATGGTGGCAGGTTTGGTAGCAGAAGGCCTGGCAATAGGTCGCGCGAACGCCAAAGACCTCCAAGGGTGCAACGCCCGGGTTGAGAGCATGAACGCAGCGGATGCCGCCTACGTGTCACAATGATGAAGATCAGCACTGAGCACGCCGAGACAGACGCCAAGATCCAGATGAGCAGATGCAAGGAAACCACAGTGACGGCCCGCTCTTTGGTGCAACTGTGGGGGGAGCGCAAAGCGGGGACCGATCCAATGAGCCACCTCGAACGTCACCCACACGGGATTAACCGCTCAGTAGAAAACTCAGTACAGTGCAGCACATCAAGTAGAAGCACGAAGCAGCGCAGCGAACAGGGAGGAGAGGAGAAAGTTAGTACCCTCTCAAACCTGCGCCGCTGCGTGCGCTGCTAGGTCCCCTGTAGGCCCGACCTCTCTGTTTCCTTGTCCTGATTGTCGTCGATGTTCTAACCTTCCTCCCTCCCGCCCCTCTGGTAATTCCAGCCCCATGCTGCGCAATTTCGCGCGGCGGACTTCAGTCCAGGTTCAGTGCCTTGGCTTTGATCGGGGATAGTCGTAAGTTCGAAATTACGTTGGCTAGTGGGGCTGAGGCAGCCCTAAATCTTCGGCTCTAAGAGGGCACTAGAGCATTTTCAGCTTCGCGGCGGAAAATGCTCCTTCAGGTGTTCGTCGTCGTCCCCCCCCCTTCCCTCTCGTCTGCCTTCCCACATGATTAATTAGCGTCCCGTCGGTCGTCTGTCGTGTCGTTGTCAACATCGTCGTTTTAGTCGGCCGCCGCCGCTGATCTGGTCTGCCTGGACCTCGTGCACTGTCGTTGGCGCGCGCGCGCGAGGCTAGGGTCTTCTTTGGCTTATCACTAGCTACTCCTCATGGGGTGGGACCACTGGTCGCAGGCCGTCCAAACAAGATCCGAGCAGCTGGGGTTGGAGGATCGCGCCGCATCGCCGATGCATTGGCGATGTCGGCTTGGAACAAGTCGGGCTCCACATCGAGTCGCATCGCCGATGCATCGGCGATGCGGCGCGATACTCCGACCCCGTCTGCTCGGACACCTTGTCGGGGAGCCCCCAGGCTGCCGCGGGTGGGAGCCTTTGTACTCCGGGTGTTCGTCGTACATCTCCCGCACCAACCTCCTCTTCACAGCCTCCAGCCGCGAGTGTTTTATTTGTCGCATCAACCGCCAAGAACCCTATATACCTGAATCCACAAGCTAGCTGATCGACTGTGACACCCGCCTACTTAGGGTGGAGGCCCTTGGCCGAGCAGTCTCCCAGTCTCGCACTGGCAAGGCTCAGCGAGCGGCTCGCATGCGACTACCAGTTTTGCAAGACGAGCACCTCGAACGAAACATCAACGCCACTTTCCCATTGCATGCGAACAACTCCAGCCGCAGGAGAGGGGGGCACACGAAGAGAAGAGAAGAGAAGAAGGCAGTGCTCGTGGAGGGCAAGACCAATTAACATCGAATCGGAAAAATTGTACAGGGTCGGTAGGTCGCACCAGCACAGACAAAGACGACATCGGATCGGATCGGTTTCGCCAAGATGCACAGCAACGCACGCGCAAACATCAAACCGCATCGGATCGTCGGAATATCGGAATCGACTCGGATCGAGCCCGCCCGAATCGAGATCTCATCGGATCTATCGGACCGAAATGGAACTGGAGAGGAAGACAGTTGTTGTGAATGGGGGTTGATGGTCCACGGAACATGTGTTGTAGCGGCAGTGTGTGCGTGTGTGTTTCGTTCCGCCAGCGCAATCACTCTGCCTAGCCGCCGACGCAAAAACGGGTGTGCGTGTGTTTGTCAACGGGGGCCTCCGATTGAGACGCAGGCAGCGAACGGGGTGAACACACACACACACACACGCACACACACACACACACACACACACGCACACACACACGCACGCACACACACACACACACACACACACACACACACACCCTCTTCGAGCGTCAACAGGCAAACTAATTCTCCGTGCCGTCAACCCTCGCACGCCAGGCGCGCGCGGGCAGGCAGTCGGCCCCTCACGGGGCAGTGAAGAACAGCGGCCCGGTCGTCGGCGGGAGGAGGGCGGGATGAATAGAAGGAGGGAGGACAGCTAGACGAGGGACGAGGAGGAGGAAGAGGGGAAGATGGATGTGCGTGCGTGTATCGGTGAAAGGGAGCTGAGTGCGCGTTGGGGCAAAGAGGGCCCAACATGACGGGAGAGCGGATGATCCAAGACGGGTCGGTCGGAACACGCGCAACAATGCGCAAGAGTTCACACCCCTGCTCATTCCCTCCTGCAGATCTCCCACACTCCTCGATCTCATTATCTTCTTCTGACTCCTCCTCAACCTCCTCCTCCTCCATCCCCAGGTTCCCTCTTCACCTCCCCCTCCTTTCTGCTGCTGATACTTATCCTCCTCCTCCTCCTCCTCATCCTCCTCGATCTCCCCATGCCCCTTGTCCAGCGTCCTACCTCCTTCCTTGTGGCGCGTATTCTCGTCATCCCCATCCTCCCTGCTCCTCGTTCTGCTCCTCTTCTTCCTCGTCGTCCTCCGTCTGCCCACCCTCATGCATACCTTGTTATTATTGTAACCCCTGCTCGTCGCACCGCCGCCAGACGTGTGGGGATGGTGCTGAAAAATGACATTAGCGACAGCTACACGGATGGAAGGATCACAACTTTCAACATACGACTGTGACCTGCTCAGCGCCGGGCACATTCGTTCGAATAATTTACACGTGTTGAGGTTGACTGGCTGTCAACATGGGGCTCTCGCTCTAGCGCCGCGCTCATTCGTGTTAAAGGTTTCAGACATGTACACGGACGGATTGCGGGTCGCTTTCGAAATTTGCTATCGCCTGTCGACTATTCTGACAGCGCACGGTAGTCGCAACATCTCCCAACACTTGGAAGGATGCTTGCCAACACGTGTGGAACATAGTTTGAAATCCCTCTTGCTGTGAGACCTCGAGCTAACACTGCCCGGCAGTCATACGAAATGTGGTGGCTCCTGTTCAACAGAAGGCTCTCGCTTGAGTCTTCCACTAACGTGACGGTATATGGCGTGAAGGGTAGACATGTGCAACAGTTGCACGGATGGAGGGCGGCTCGTTTTCAGAACGGGGCTCTTGCTGGAAAATTAATTTGGCTGGACGGCCCTCCTTGTAGCCAGGAGGATGAACGGCGGATGTTTTTGGAAACGAGGCTCATGTCTGAATGGCACACCTATGCGGCGCTCGGCGTACAAGGGAACGCGTCTGGTAGTGAAAAGGAAGGCGTGGACGGACTGATTGGGAGAGGATTCGGAATGGAGAGTGTCTTGCAAGAGCGTTGATACATCCTGGGTTTACTCTCGGCCTCCTCCGTCAGCAGCAACGACACTATGCCGTCTCGCCATACTCCTCCTACTCCTCCTCAACATCATCCAGCATGCGCGCACACGAGAGGACACCGTGAACAGAACGCAAGACTCTCCCAAAGTCCAGAGCACAGCTGCAGAGGATCTGCGAGGCCAGACCTACTGCTGCAATGCGTGCCGATGGACGCCCGACCCGACATGGGGACAGCGGCACTGGTAGTGAGGGGGAGCTATAGGAGGAGACTGGCTCGGGGGGGCATCGACTTGAACCGCACGATCCTTGGCGCGCTGGGGTCTATCAAGCCCCTATCGGCTATGAAGGCGCGATTGGGGGTCGATGCATTCCACCCTGCGCCCGTGCCCCCCCACCTGTCGTTGGCTCTGAGGCTGAGGAACAGAAACATGCAAGCATACACGTTCGGAGGTCCGTGCGGATTTTCGGCTGTGCGCTGGGTGCCACCTGTCGCCATCGAACCGACAGGGCACTTTGTAGCGACAACGAGACTGGGTTTCAACTTGCCTGGCTTGACGTCCAATCAGACATTGTCATCCGCATTGTATCTGGCCGGATCCGAGAGCCCT